ATTCTACTAACAAAGTTTATCAAGCATCCTTGAAGGAAACGGGGCCAAAAGACGCAGAGCATTAACCTATAAAAGTTGTCTGAGAGCATTTGTAATAAAGGATGTTCGCTACTCGGTTTCAAAATAACAAGCTTTTTAAAACACTGTTATAAATTGATAGTATATAATTAAAGGAACCATAAAGGCAGAAAAAATGAAGGGTCTGTGAGCTTGCTTTCGAGATATAAACCATTGAAATTTGGCAGGAAATGATTCTCTCTAGATTTTTCATACATTTAACATCGGTACCTTTTTCCTTTCAAAAACAATGAAAAATTAACAAGGATTTTTTGAGATTTTCAAATATGGCTTTTAAAACTATATGTAATAAAAATATGAAAAGAAAAGTAGGGGTTAGCAGGCAAAACGTTCAATGGCATTTATACATAGATAAAACCAGAGGATTCAGAATATCTGGCAAAAATTTAAAAACAAGAGGAGCAAACATCCTTTATTCAAAAATAGGTATACTTTTTTTCTACTCTAAGAGTTGCTTATCCATTTTGGAAACTGAAGATGAATAGTTGCAGGAAAACATAGGGTAATTTTCATTTGCATAATCTTACAATAATTTTTTATTCTATTATCTAAAGATTGAGAACTTGTTGGTTTTTGAGGTATAATATTTCAATATTAAATGTTATAACGTCAACTAATGTTTCTATCTTATTAAAAAACTAGAGGCTCTAAAGAGCCTGTGTCGCTCACCTTGGTCTATGTCTATTTTGGTCATGTTGACTTATTTGTAGATCTTACTTTGCTGAACATTATTGCTGTTTACAGTTTATCTCTATCTATAATAATATTCAAGATAATAACCAAAAGCTGCAAAATTTTCTTAAAATTACCAATTCAGGGGCAGCAACCCAACAACGGGTTGCCTGATTGGTCTGAAAATTTCAGGGCAGATAGATCTTGACCTAATGAACAATTTTATCCTCATCAGATTTGCTCTAAATGCTTTGGTTTCAGAGATATGAGCCAAAAACTGCATTTTACCCTATGTACTATTTTTTAGCCATGTCGGCCATCTTGGTTCGCGGGCGGGGTCATCGGACACATTTTTTAAACTAGATACCCTAATGATGATTGTGGACAAGTTTGGTTAAATTTATCTTAGTAGTTTCAGAGGAGAAGATTTTTGTAAAAAATAACAAAAATTTACGAAAAATGGTTTAAAATTGACTATAAAGGGCAATAACTCCTTAAGGGGTCAACTGACCATTTTGGTCAAGTTTGACTTATTTGTAGATCTTACTTTGCTGAACATTATTGCTGTTTACAGTTTATCTCGATCTATAATAATATTCAAGATAATAACCAATAAAATGCTCCGCTGGGGCGCAGCTTGATACGACCGCAGAGGTCGAACCCTGAACAGTTGGGGCAAGTATGGACACAACATTCAAGCTTGATACACCACTGAATTTGGATTGTAATTAAATATTTGACACAGCATAGGTTTCTGACACAGAATAAATGTGGTCTAAGAACTTAAAAAATTTTAATTTATCTATTCAAACCATATCATTATTATTTGCTTTTATATATAAATCAGTAATAACCAATTTAAAATGGAAAATTCTAAAGAAAAAAAAGGAAAAAAAAATCCCCCCCCCAAATTTTTTGAACCCCCTTATGATTCATCACCCCCAAACTCAATCCCAGCCTTCCCTTTGTGGTATGGTACCTTGCAGTACACATACATGTGATGGACTGTGAAACTAAGATCAGGAGTTTGGGAGATTAGGACTCAGATCAGGAGGTTTTTAATCTACATAAATTCTGTCGTAAATGTAACCGTGTGCTGTAGAAATTGTCTGTTAAAGTGTGTTTCCTTCAACTTTCCATCCAAATGTATTATGTTTATAGTACCCTTGTACTTATAAATTTTCTCTATCTTTTTGAACTTTCAACTTGTTCAATCTAACATTCTTCTTTTTTAGTATGTTCTTTAAATTTTTTAGGTCATATCTTTTTTACCATTATTCATTGCAATCAAAACATTTGCTTATCTATCTGCAAGTAGATCTTTTATTTTTATCTTTATGCAAGTAGATCTTTTATTTTTATCTTTATGTTAGTTGATTTTTAATGCATGATAAGTAACCCATTCAAGCTGAACTCATGGGTCATAGTTATTATATAAATTTCAATTTAAGCCTTGAAAGGAAGTATAGAACCCTCAAATAATTTTCAAATTATTATTTTTTTATTTGTCCTAAGACATTTAAAATCATTTAATTACCATCCTTTTATGATTATTTGTTCAATTTATATTTTATTTATATTCTTTTAAAAATTTACATTATTTAAAGGAAAGTAACTTAAAACAGGATAAATCAAGGGAAGTAACCCAACATTCATTTTAAATAAACAAAGTTTTATTACACAACGGCAGTTAGCCTGAGGTAAAAATCGTTGATTACCTGTATGTTTGACACCCAAGGTGACAAGTGAAGCCATATAATTATGCATGTTAATTGATTTACAGGTAAAATATAACTTCAGTAATGTCAGTTACACCAGATATGTTGGGCTGAAATTTTTCATTCATGAAATATTTCATACACGGGATTTTTTTGTCTTCAACGGGAGGTCCGGAGTAGACCCCTGAAAACGGGATTATTGTACTCCCATCGGGAGGTTCACATGTATAAGTACAATTTCAGAGAGATCCATACACTTGAACACAAGTTATTGTCTGGAAACTTGAAAAATGCTTGTTTTTTGTCCCTTTTTGGCCCCAAATTCCTAAACATTTAGGGCAATTACCCCCAAACTCAAACCCAGCTTTCCCTTTGTGATATGGAACTTTGCAGTACAATTTCATAAAGATCCATACACTTACACACAAGTTATTGTCCTGAAACTAGAAAAATGCTTGTTTTTTTTGCCCCTTTATGGCCCCTAATTCCTCAAATTTCTAGGGAATTACCCCCAAAATCAATCCCAGCCTTCCCTTTATGGTATGATACCTTGCAGTTCAATTTCAGGGAGATCCATACACTTGAACACAAGTTATTGTCTGGAAACTAGAAAAATGCTTATTTTTGGCCCCTTATTCCTAAACATTGTGGGCAATTACCCCCAAAAATCAATTCCAGCTTTCCCTTTGTGATATGGAACCTTGTAGTACAATTTCATAAAGATCCATACACTTACACACAAGTTATTGTCATGAAACTAGAAAAATGCTTGTTTTTTGCCCCTTTTTGGCCCTTAATTCCAAAAATTTAGAGGAAATTACCCCCAAAATCAATCCCAGCATTCCCTTTGTGATATGGAACCTTGTAGTACAATTTCATAAAGATCCATACACTTACACACAAGTTATGGTCATGAAACTAGAAAAATGCTTGTTTTTTGCCCCTTTTTGGCCTCTAATTCCTAAAATTTGGAGGCAATTACCCCCAAAATCTATCCCAGCATTCCCTTTGTGATTTGGAACCTTGTGGTACAATGTCAGAGAGATCCATACACTAACACACAAGTTATGTCTGGAAGTTACAAAAATGCTTATTTTTGGCCCCTTTTTGGCCCCTAATTCCTTAACTGTTGGTACCATAACCCCCAAAATCAATCCCCACCTTCCTTTTGTGGTATTGAACCTTATGGTAAAATTTCATAGAGATCCATTCCCTAAAACTAAAGTTAGAGTGCGAAAACCAATGTGTCTTCGGACAACGACGACGACGACAACGACGCCAACGTCATACCAATATACGACCACAAAATTTTTTTTGCGGTCGTATAAAAACGGTAAAATTTCCATAAAATTACCAATTCAGGGGCAGCTAACCCAACAACGGGTTACCTGATTGGTCTGAAAATTTCAGGGCAGATAGATCTTGACCTAATGAACAATTTTATCCTCATCAGATTTGCTCTAAATGCTTTGGTTTCAGAGATATGAGCCAAAAACTGCATTTTACCCTATGTACTATTTTTTAGCCATGTCGGACATCTTGGTTTGCGGGCGGGGTCATCGGACACATTTTTTAAACTAGATACCCTAATGATGATTGTGGACAAGTTTGGTTAAATTTGTCTTCGTAGTTTCAGAGGAGAAGATTTTTGTAAAAGATTACAAAAATTTACGAAAAAATGGTTAAAAATTGACTATAAAGGGCAATAACTCCTTAAGGCTTAAGGGGTCAACTGACCATTTTGGTCAAGTTTGACTTATTTGTAGATCTTACTTTGCTGAACATTATTGCTGTTTACAGTTTATCTCTATCTATAATAATATTCAAGATAATAACCAAAAACGGCAAAATTTCCTTAAAATAACCAATTCAGGGGCAGCAACCCAACAACAGGTTGTCTGATTTGTCTGAAAATTTCAGGGCAGATAGATCTTGACCTGATAAACAATTTTAACCCCTGTCAGATTTGCTCTAAATGCTTTGGTTTCAGAGATATAAGCCAAAATCTACATTTTACCCCTATGTTCTATTTTTAGCCATGGCGGCCATCTTGGTTGGTTGGTTGGGTCACCGGACACATTTTTTAAACTAGATACCCCAATGATGATTGTGGCCAAGTTTGGTCAAATTTGGCCCAGTAGTTTCAGAGAAGAAGATTTTTGTAAAAGTTAACGACGACGGACGACTGACGCCAAGTGATGAGAAAAGCTCACTTGGCCCTTTGGGCCAGGTGAGCAAAAAAGGATGATGTAGTGCATTGTTATTAAATATATAATATTTCATCAATTTCATATTTTCTAGAAAAGGTCATATTAAAATTTACTTTTCAGCTGCTGGGTTTGAGACCATTTCTATTCAAATTTGATAAGTGGCGATAATTTAAGGAAGATTGCCTGCACAGTTATAAGAAATAATCAAACATAATTTTATACTTGACATAGTAAAATAAAAAAAAAATGCCTTCTGAACCAGCCTCATAATTTAATTTATGGAACATTCCTTATACAGTTTGTCCTAGTCCTATATAATAACCTCAAGATGATCTGTTTCAAACATTTTTGGCATTATAACTTTCCGAACTTCATTTGTACTGTACATCTGACATGCTCTCTGTTTTTCATCTGACGTTGCAGGTCTCAGACTACCATCCGTGTCCCTCACTGTCACATGTCTATCCTGAATAAAACATAAGTACTACATATAACAGGCTATTATTTAAACTTGGAATTATTTTTGATTATGGAATTTGCATAATTTCTTGTGTTTGAAATTTTTAATAAATTCCATGTTTATTTGGACTTTAATGTTCTGTGCTGCGCACAACACTTTCTATTACAAAGAAGATAGTACATTTTCAATAGAATGTACTGTGCTGCGCACAACACTATCTATACAAAATACATTGTATGAGAAGTGTTATGAACCGCTCAAAACATTATAATACCAAATAAACATGGAATTTATTAAAAATTTCAAGCACAAGAAATTATGCAAATTCCATAATTGAAAATAATTCCAAGTTCAAATAATAGCCTGTTATATGCATAACTAATTCATATTTCAAAATACAAATTTACAAATTTATCCTTCAATTAACATACCCAATCTTAACTTGCACCAGCAACATGACAGGTGCCACATGCAAAGCATGAATTGCTTACACTTCGAGAGCACCTCAGTTCACTCCCAGTATTTGGTGGGGTTGTGTTGCTCTGTCTTTAGTTTCCTATGTAGTTTTTTGCAGACTTGTTTTTCGTTTCGTCATTTTCATCTCAGCCATGGCATTTCAAGTTTATCTTCAACTTATGACTTTTGAATGTCTTCTTGGTGTTTCTGCCTCCTTTAAGTCTGATTCTAATGGACTTCCCCTTTTTTAATTAACCTTGGAGTTCTGTATTTATCTATTTTTAACTATAATACAAACCTATTTTTAGTCCCATACTAATGTCTATAAATACATATTTGAAGTATAAAAGATTTGCTATCTCTGGATCTAACCTAACCTACCAATATAGTCTAACAGATAACTATCTCTAGATCTAACCTAATGTTGGTTGATATTGTTTAATTTTTGTCAGTTTTTATCGACTTCTCATTTTTTTAATTTACCTTGTGGAGTTCTGTATTCTTGTTATACATTTTTTCTTAACTTACTCTGTCTTTAAGTCCCATACTAATGTCTGTGAAGACAAATTTGAAGTCTAAAAGATTAGCTATCTCAGGATCTTGACCAAACACTTGATCCACTGGTTCATCAGCCTTCATTACTGGTGGCATCTGTAGTTTGTACACTGCCTTTCTTATGGCTTTCAAATGCATCTGAAAAGAAAAAATTGTTAATTGTGAAGTACTGTAAAAAATGAAAACAACACTTACCTTCATGAGGAACGTTCAAAGCCAAATATTTGAAAGCCAAGGATTTATGAGAACTGAAACATTTGAAGAGCTATATGACCAAAAAGGACCTAAAAATATAGCCAAATCCATCTAAGATAAACTTTGCCTGAGGGAGCTGAAACCTTAGTTTCTTTATAACTTAAAAATTTATAAACGGACAATTTTAGAAAGGTTTGTTATAAATCATGTCAGTACAGAAGTACTGACTACTGAGCTGATAATACCCTCTGGGACTGATAGTCCACCAGCAGAGGTATCGACCCAGTGCTGTATAAAAATGAAAACAACAAGTTATAAATTTCATGCATCTGAAGTGCTTTTCTGGATATACCTTCATCAGGAACGCTCAAAGTCAAAAATTTGAAAGCCAAGAATGTATTAGAACTGGAAGAGTTGAAGAGATATATGACCAAAATGGACTTTAAAAAATAGCCAAATCCATCTAAGGTCAACTTTGCCTGAGGGAGTTGACACCTTAGTTTTTACATAATTTAAGAATTTCATTAATTTACCCAATCGAATTATTTGCATTAATAAAAACCTCGCAATAATTTCTGAAATTACAGTACACAGTTAGTTTTGAGTATTGCACAAGGTCATGACAGTAACGTAATAAGATCACCCTTAAGCATGTTAAGGGCCAGGTGAGCTAAAAAAAAAAAAGGTATAAAAAATAGTTTCTCTTCATTTAGGTAATTTGTTATTAACAGCAGATCTTGGGTGTTCTCATGTTAATTTATTTGCAACTTTTCCAGATTTAGGGTGATCAAAGCTCAACGAATTGTATAGCCACTTAAATTGTCTATTGTTGAAGAAAGTCATAACTGTAAGTTGACTTAAATATATCTTTGAAGTTCTCATGTGTCTTTTGTTTGCTGTCTCAATGACATATTTCCAACATCTCACTTATTCATATTCAAATTAAAATGGGAAAATTTTTTAAATTACATCAAAAAGACCTACGTATACAGGCGGAAACCCAGTTGAAATTAAACAAAAGAAATGGAACTCTTTGTTAGAAGGTAAAAAAGGCCAAGTTGGTAAATTTGAATTGTTTACATCTGTTTCCATGGGCTTTAAAAGTTTAATGAATGTGCCTAATTTAGGATTTTATGCATCTTATGTATTTGTTTTTTATCTTGAATTATTGTATGGAGCTTCGAGATATTTGTAAACTTTTCAATTATAGACAAATTTTCACAAAACAGTGGATTGTGGTAGGTGAAAATTCATGTGGATCTTTTTTGTGCATAAGCATAAATTCCGCCGCAAAAATTCCAAAGAAAGATAATAGATTGATCTCTTTAAAGCATTAATTTGCATCTCTGCCCCCTGACGGCAGTTTTTGGGGAAAAAATCCCCAAAATAGGCAATAATTTCATCGAAAAGAGAAAGTCGAGTACACCTTTTTATGTTCAGGCTTGTTTGAGTTGACTATTCTGTCTTGAAAACATATAAAAGAAAAGTATTTGGTACATCATCTCGCTTCAGATTCTATTATTTTTATATATTTAGGCTCTAGGTTGATACAATAACATTAAAATTTACCGTACTAAAAGATGAAATATATGGGTCAAGTGAAATACCTTTTTAATGAGTCATAACAACAGAGTAGGTGTGTTCAAATAACAAATTTTTACTAAAAGTACTTGACAACAGACTTTTCAGGTGGATCTTAAAAATGCATAACTTAAAAAAAACTTCATTTTTTCTGTGTGTTATCTAGGGTAATTAGTCATCAATCTCTGAAAATCTTTAGAGTGCCCTTCCACAAAATATTTAATCAGAATTTTTTTAAATATTTTTTAACTTTCAAAAATTCCCCCATGACAACCAATCAGACAATAGTTTTAAGTTGACCAAATGCATAAAAGTACATTAAATGATGCTCAATAGCTAGTAGATACATTTGTCTTTTAAAATACAAATGGAATATAAGGATCGTAATGACGCTATGTGGATAAATTTAACGGCTTTCAAGAGCTTATTGACAGCGCGTCATCACTACAATGGCTTCCATTTTTACGATTATAATAAGGTGGCGTAATGGGGAGATAATTTTAACGAAGTAGAATCCTGACTGTATAAATATTCAGAAAAAAATTAACCTTTCACCACTTTGCCATATTTATAAGTAAATTAAAGTATTTTCACAAAGGATGACATATATACATGATATAAATTTACTTCAAAAGTATATACATTGTACAAAAATAAAATTAATGCAAATCCAGAATGCAAATTTTAAGTTAACATGTTGTGCAATTATTTTCAGCTAAAAATGCTTCAATAATGCATATAACTACAAGCATATAAAATAATTGTGCATATATGATTCATATTGCTTTAAATTCACAACATCTCTGTCTAATTCTAAAATGTCATATGCTTACTATGCATTATGGGTTTTGCTCATTTGTTGAAGGCAGTACAGTTACCTATATTTGTTAACTTCTAACTTTTGGTCTCCGGTGGAGAGTTATCTAATAAACGTATTTACACTTTTGGTATTTAGCTGAATTTTGTCTCTGAATGACCTTAGATCTGTCTCCGAATAACCTTCTGACGTCAAGCAACAATCACTTTTTAATTATGACGTCAAATTTTTTAAATTGTGATGTCAAATTTTACGGGAACTTGTGTGAATTTAAGTAATGGCGGACAAATTTGCATACAAGTGTAAATACGTCTATTGGTAATCATACCACATCTTTTTATATCATAATGAATGTGTGTCAATAAAAATATAAAGAATGAACTTTGACCTTTTTCACACATGACCTGTCAGTATAAAATATGTATAAGTTCTAATTCTAAACCGTTTCAAGTATTCACCTCTTCCAGTTGTTCATCTGTAACTAAAGCAAATGTAGGTTTCTTCCCTTTTGATGTTAAATTAAATGAAAACACTTTGGCCATATCAAAGCCAGTCATCTGTTTCAGTATTGTCTGAACTCTTTCTTGGAGAAATACTGGTAAAGGATCTTTGTTGTGTAAGCTAGCAGACTTTCCAGGGGGACTGCTTGCACCTATTTATGAAAAAAATATATAGTATGAACAATCAAGGACATCATTGAAGCAATATTGAAAATAGTTATTTCAAAAAAATAAGCGGTTATTTGGGTTTTTTTTCTTCAAATAACAGATTGATTAATTGATTGTTGGTTGAATAACATCCAGTGGCAAATATTTAATGCATGTTTATATTGTATCGTAGATCAAATTTATTTGTTCAGTGTATATTCACTGGTGTTAATATGTCTTTTGATTGAGTTATGCCATTTCAATTGATATTTTATAGTGTGTCTTTCTATGTTGTGATGTTACACTATGTTTCAGATAAGGGTGAAGGTTTGGTACCATTAAAACGTTTAAACCCGCTGCAATTGTTTGCACCTGTCCAAAGTCAGGAATCTGGTGTTCAGTAGTTGTCGTTTGTTGATGTGGTTCATAAGTGTTTCTCGTTTCTCGCTTTTTATATAGATTAGACCGTTGGTTTTCCCGTTTGAATGGTTTTACACTAGTAATTTTTGGGGCCCTTTATAGCTTGCTGTTTGGTGTGAGCCAAGGCTGTGTGTTGAAGACCGTACTTTGACCTATAATGGTTTACTTTTATAAATTGTGACTTGGATGGAGAGTTGTCTCATTGCCACTCATACCACATCTTCTTATATCTAATTAGGACGAGAACAAATTAACAATACATGTAAATATAACAGGTAGTTTCTGTAATCAGTCAGGGGTACTACATGTACAAGTAATTAGTTTATTTACTAGAAGAAGTAAATATTAATATACTTATATAAGTAAATTTGTAGGGTACTTATACAAGTGTATTTTATTTACTTGTATAGGTAAATTATTTTTTGGCTTAGTTATGTCCCTTAGACATTCAGATTCTTTTACTTATACAAGTAAAAAAGTCATCCTATCTTGTTTTCTTGAATTTCTTAGGACTTCTTTGTTCTAATAGAATTTTTAATTGTCTGTCCTTGCAGATGTCTTTACTTATCATTTAAGTGTAATTTCATTGACAATGAAAATCTCATTTGTCTGTTATCTTCAGAACACTGCACATTTATAAGCCCCCAAGGGGCAATTTTTGAAGGCCTTGCGCAAATACTTAAGATATTTGCGCAATTAGTTTCTTTGTTGAATTAATGAGATGAATCATTGAACTTTAATAAAAAATTATGAGCTAACCTGAGAAAATTTGTTATAGGCATGTTTTTACATCTCAAAACTTGAGAATTTTTCGGGATTGTAAAAATAAATAAATGGGGAATGTGTCCATGGGACACAGATGATGCTCCCACATGCATAATAACGTTATAAAGGGACATAACTCATGAACTGTAAAAGTGACACTACCCAAATTTGTACTTGATCTGAGTTTTGTGGTAATAAGTATTGTGTATAAGTTTAACATTTGATTGAGGCAAACTGAAGTAAGAGAACGGAAACGAAAAATTCAGCAATTTTTCAATTTGTAAAGAGGCATAACTCTAGAACGGTAAAAGTGACCCCACCAAAATTCAAACTTGATCTGTGTTTTGTGGTAATAAGCATTGTGTATAAGTTTCATAACATTTGGTTGAGGCAAACTAAAGTTAGAGAATGGAATTGAAAAATTCAGCAATTTTTCCATTTGTAAAGAGGCATAACTCTAGAACGGTTAAAGTGACACCACCAAAATTCAAACTTGATCTGTGTTTTGTGGAATAAGCATTGTGTATAAGTTTCATAACATTTGGTTGAGGAAAACTAAAGTTAGAGAACGGAAACGAAAAATTCAGCAATTTTTCCATTTGTAAAGGGGCATAACTCTAGAACAGTAAAAGTGAGGCCACCCAAATTCAAACTTGACCTGTGTTTTGTGTTAATAAGCATTGTGTATAAGTTTCATAACATTTGGTTGAGGCAAACTAAAATTAGAGAACAGAAACCAATTTTGGGACGTACGAACTGACTCACGTACAAAATGTACGTACGTAAAGACGGACAAGGGTAAAACTTAATGCCCCCTCCGCAATGGCAGGGGCATAATTACTTATACAAGTAAATTTTTGAGAAAATTAAGGGGAGATTATTCAAACATTATAACTTACTTATATAAGTATATAATAATTTACTTCTTCAAGTAAATAAAGATTACTTGTACAAATAGTTGGGGATGACGGTCAAGAAATTCTGACTACCATTGGTAAATGAGGGTTTATTGGATAGGAACAGAAATTTAGTCTTGCAACAGGTCACCTACAGACAGCCCCCTAAAAGAGTTGCTGCAAGGGTTCATAACATGCAGAGAGTGTGGCATTCTCTTTCCACAAAGCACTGTAAATTCAGAATTATTGCGAGATTTTTATATTAATGCGAATAATGCGACTGGGTAAGTATCGCAAAAATAAGAACTCGCATTTTGATATCTGAAACATGTATCTGTACGCAGCTCTTCCTTAAATCACAATAATTAATCTCGCATTTCTGTCCATTCTTCAAAAATAGCAATAATAAATGCACGCAATAATTTCTGAATTTAAAGTATTGAATTAAGCGTCCCCATTCCCTGTCCGAAGAAGACCAAAATTACTATATTCCAAAAAAGGATGCCTTTTGAACTGATATATAGGTCCACATTGAAGTACAAAAGTTCTAAATTTTCATACACTCAGTATAAAGATATTGACAAATAAAACGCCTTACCATATAAAAAAATTCGTAAGGGTTCCACGGAACCCAGTGTCTCGCCTACTTTTTCTGCTAATCGCAGGCTCAACAAAAATGAGGAAGTAAATCAATAAAAATATTCCTCTTGATACTATCTTTTGATTGTAAGAAGCTTCTGTCCAAGTTTGGTAAAAATCCAGGATAGTTTATGAATCTAATAAATGTTTAAAAACATTAACTGCAGACTGAATGTAATGTTAACTGGAAGAAAAAAAAAATTTCCTTCTAGATACTAGCATTTGACCATAAACAAGCTTCTGTCCAAGTTTGGTACAAATCCAAAATAGTATAAGAAAGTTATTAAAATTTTAAAAACTTTAACCACAGAGTGAATGTGTTGTTTCCTGGCAGAAAATCTAAGTCCATTTAAAAGTAAAATACTGAAAAAATGGATTTATTTTTTTACAAAATTTCCTTCTAGATACTAGCTTTTGATCTTAAACAAGCTTCTGTCCAAGTTTGGTACAAATCCAAAATAGTATAAGAAAGTTATTAAAATTTTAAAAACTTTAACCACAGAGTGAATGTGTTGTTTCCTGGCAGAAAATCTGAGTCCATTTAAAAGTAAAATAAGGAAAAAATGGATTTTTTTTTTTACAAAATTTACTTCTGGATACTATCTTATGATCATAAACAAGCTTCTGTCCAAGTTTGGTAGAAACCCAGGATAGTTTAAGAAAGTTATTAAAATTTTAAAAACTTTAACCACAGAGTGAATGTAATATTTCCCGGCAGAAAAACTAAGTCCATTTATAAGTAAAATACGGAAAAAATGGAATTTTATTTTTTTTTAAATTTACTTCTGGATACTATCTTATGATCATAAACAAGCTTCTGTCCAAGTTTGGTAGAAATCCAGGATAGTTTATGAAAGTTATTAAAATTTCAAAAACTTTAACCACAGAGTGAATATTTGTGGACGCCGCCGACGACGACGACGACGACGCTGACGGAATGTAGGATCGCTATGTCTCGCTTTTTCGACTAAAGTCGAAGGCTCGACAATGAGCAAAGAGCATTGCAAGAAAGAATTATTTCTCAGTCAATTCTTTATATCTGGATCATGATAAATGAAGATTTACATTATAATACAGTATATTTGGTCTGTACCTAAATAACATTCTAAAGATGAGATCAGTAAAATGATACATACATGCAAGTTAAGGTGAACAAATGGAGTTATCCCTCTTTGTACTGGCTCTCTCCCCTCATGTTTTTATAATAAGTTCTTAATCATGTTTCTATATTTCTTCCTATAATCATTTTTAATTAAGGAATAACTGTAATATTTTTTCTGTCTATGAAGAAATAACATCAAAAATGTGGTGCACACTGAATAACGCGCGTAGCGGGTTATTTAACAGTGTGCACCACATTTTTTCTGTTATTTCGAATAGACAGAAAAAATATTACAATCATTCCTTATAATTTAATTCTAAATTCCATTTTTAAGGAGTAAATCGTGAAAAAACGTTGATAACGTCACGGTCACATGACAAAATTATGTCTATGAGCTGATAAACAAAATTTTCTCAGCCAATCAGAAGACGTGTTTCATCCAAAATTAAATTAATCACTAATAATCAGCATGTATATTTGATTGCACGAGTTGTTTGTGGGGATATATTGTATGAACTTTGTGATTTATATGCTCTATATGGGTCCTTTAATTAAGAATAAAGAAATCTAATTTGATTTGGTTTGATTTATAAGCTCTATAAAGCTATTGATCATGTGACATTCTTTTTTTTTTGCAGAGAATTACAATTCTAGCATTGTAATGCATCATTTCAATTAGATATATCGTAAACTGGATTGTAATTTTGTACTTTATAGTTGATCTTGTCCAAGACTGTCAAATTCATTAGTTTTTTTCTTTGTTGTTAGATGACAAGCATTACTTCATCTTGAGCTTGAAATACTGAGGAAAATGAAATACTGAAGAAAATTTTAGAAAATTTAGTTTTTGACCAATTTATTTGTTGGGTGTGTGTTGAAGAAGTTTTGTTAGTTCATGAATCTCTTATATGACTTCACAGTTTTTTTATAACACCTGATAAAGTATAACATGAATTAAACTAATCCAAATATGTTTACATATATATGAGATACAATAAAATTGAGAATGGAAATGGGGAATGTGTCAAAGAGACAACAACCCGACCATAGAACAGACAACAGCAGAAGGTCACCAACAGGTCTTCAATGCAGCGAGAAATTCCCGCACCCGGAGGCGTCCTTCAGCTTACCCCTAAACAAATATATATACTAGTTCAGTGATAATGAACGCCATACTAAACTCCAAATTGTACACAAGAAACTAAAATTAAAAATAATACAAGACTGACAAAGGCTAGAGGCTCCTGACTTGGGACAGGCGCAAAATTGCGGCGGGGTTAAACATGTTTATGAGATCTCAACCTTATTCAATTGATAATAACGAATCATTCAACATATTTAACTGAATTTAAAATGTCAAACTTTAAAGTCATATATTTATATTCTTTTATTTTGTTTTAACCCCTATTTCAGTCAGGGGAATTACTGAAATCAGTGATTTGTTGATCACTCATTTAAGTAGCAAATTAGAAATTCTGTGATTTTGTAGTTTTACCAAAATTTTAAACATACATGTACAGGTTTAAATTATATCTAACTATTAATAAAATTGAAAAAAATGAAACTTTTGCTTCTTTTAAGTAGCAAGGTTTATGCCTTTGATGCAATCATTCATCTGTAAATCCTATATTTGTTGAAAAATATGCTATAATGAAGCTTTACATAATAATCTAATACTTTCGTAACAGATTTTTCCCAGCATTGGTTAGTATTTTTCAAGGTTTCATCTTACAGATTATGTAATAAAATATTACTGTTCGCATCCAAAATTTCACTGTTCGACGGTGTTGAAATTAGTGGGGATAATTAAAATAATAATACTTAAAGAAGTGATGGTTTTGAAGAAACTAGAGGTATGATACTTAAACAAGTGATTTTCATGTCATTATCCCAGATTCAGTGTACAAGGTCATCACCTGACATGACTGGTCATCCTAACAACACAGATGTTGGTTCTGATAATTTTAGCAACATAATTAGTCCCTGGATCATTAGAAGTGTATTTTTAAAGCTACAATAAAATTAAATCACTTAGTCTAGTGATTTATTTGTACTACTTAAATGGGTGATTATTAAAGAAAGACAACTCTTACTTCCAACATATTTCTGAAAAAAAGTTACTTGAATCAGTGATTTCTTAATCACTCATTTAAGTAAGTCCCCTGACTGTATTTAATCAGTTTGTAGGTCCACTGTTTCATGATCACTAATAACATGAATAAGGATATTTTACAATTATAATTATTACATAAATTTTTCACCCAAAGAAAATTTGGTAATGGGAATAACACTTCTCTTCTAAACATTGAACCATTGAACTATACTATTTGCCTTTAGCACTACTAAACTGTAGTATTACATTGTATTTTGAAGAACATTAAAACCATTTAAAACAATTTGAACATTATTTGTTGAATAATGATAGTAAATTAAAGCATATCAGAGAATTCAGCGACAAATTAAAGCTGGTTAAAAGTTCAATAATTGTAACGGTAACCTTAAACTGTGTCATATATAGTTACGTTCGTAATTAATCAGTTCCTAACCCATAGCATTCCTGCAAATGGTGTCCAACTTACAATAACATTTTTGTAATTGTTTCGTTTTCAATGCCTACTTATAACTTATAATCAACTGCATAATAAATAATAGTTCAATCAAAATGAAAATATATACACTAGACATGTGCACAAGAACATTATACCCTCAGGCCATAATCTTGCCGGCGAAATGACAATTTAAGTCGCCAAAGAATTTTGAAAATCGCTAAATCTCGCCGGCCGACTGACTTCATAGCGAAGTCAAATCGCTATCAAAATCATTAAAGGGAGACAACTTGTGATTGACAAGTCTCACAGGTAAAAAAAATGGCGGCTGACAAGGAAAATCGAGATTTTTGAAACGACCCAGGACTAATACTGTCAACGATCAAATTAAATAAATACAACGGCGACTTTGAACATCCTCTGATATAACTTTCAAAACTGTTCAAACGGAAAACTGACCGTCTGTTTTAAGTTATCATTTTACGATAATTTTCATCTGAGGATGTTGCGTAATCACTCAGCTGATTTGTTTTACTTTTACAACTTACACGAGTCGATCAATTTTACTATTCGGTAGGTAAAAGGTTGGAATTAACGGTAGATTTATTATATTGATTGAATAAAATTGAAATATAAAAGGTAGAAAGACTGCTGATGGATAATGTGATGGCAAACGTACGACACTCGACCAGGTTGTGATCAGCAGTGGATTGTTTCTCACGACCTTTTCGTTGATATGGATGATATTTTTAAAAAATGATAGAAATTAGCTCTTTGTCGGATAATTAATATGCGATTGAAAAATATTTTCATTTATAGACTTACAATCTTTAACGATAATCTCAATTTACAACTAACATAATGTCCTGGACATTCAATAATGTTTTACAATATAATGACAAGTGGTGATACATGTATAAATTAAATTCCCAGTCATGTGAAATTCAACAGGAAAACTGGGAGTTATATTTTTTCTGGACTTTTAAAAATAAATTGAGGCAGATGCACATGAATTTAATGCATCATAATCATAATAATATCACTAGGCTACTCCCTCATGTCCCAATCAACAAATTTTATTTAGAACACAATGGTATTAATAAATAAATAACAACTAAATATTGTCTAAACCTTTTTACTAAGAACTTTCTATATATACATTGTGTACAATAACATATGAAAAAACTGCAAGTATATCTTTTATTGAATATAAAACAATTTCCGTAGTGATAAGCATGAAAACAAGATGCAACCGAAACGGTAATGGAATCTCACTTCTCCAAGAAATTGACCACTTCTCCCTTCTCTCTCTTGGAAGGAGAAGTCACTTCTCCCTCTTCAAAATCCTAGATTAGGCCCTGTACCCTAGGGGCTTGTTTATTGGGAGGGATGTGTTTTAACTGTCAATGAAGGTCGCTATCCTATATAAAATACCAAATAGGATAGCTACCGCTATTGACAGTAAAATTAAAATCCTCATCTGAACCCCTCTGGCTCTGTAAATTTTTATGCTGGTATTTAAAAATTGTAAACCAACTTAAATAAGTAATAAGGTGCATAATTAAACAACATAAAAAGTACTATGTTTAGATCCTTTACCAGCAGAGAAATTTCGATGCAACCATATCGTTCTTCTCAATAACCTTTGGAAAATTCTTAACTCATTAGGACAGGACATTTTCACATGTTTTTGCAGAGTTGTCTACCTTCTTCATTAAAACTAATAACGGAATCGAAAGAACAACGACGGACCGCAATAGACGTAATAAAACTCACAAATAAAAAAAGTTAAAATAAAACAAATTATCTAAATATCGTGGGAAGATAAAATAGTTTAAAAAGTTCATCACGAAGAAAACTTTTTGGTAAATAGTACTTTGAATTAAAATAATTGAAATAAAAGCACCTAGAGCAAGGATTTGTAGGTTAAATTTATTGTTGTTTGACGGTCCGGTGGCAAGTATTTCATCTTTTGTTCCTGTTCAGGACGAGAACAATAAATCTAGTTTTAAGAAGTACAAAATCATATTTTGCAAAAATCTAGCCTAGTTCATAAAAATGTTCTCTGAAACTGTTATAATGTCATTGTTTTCTAAGCGGGTCTGCCCGGATGTGGTCGATCCTTCATTTCTGTAGTTTTTAATTTTTGATCCAATTTTCTTTATCTTTAAATTTTCATAAAAAAATTCTTTGCATTAAATTCATCTGTAATTTTGTGATTTCTTCATTCTGCACATCCTTCAAGTTTCTGTAATTAACATAATAAAACATATTCTTTTATTTTCCACAGTATTTTCAGTTATACCATTTTGCATCCAACTATTCTCTATTCTTTATTTATTTTATTTGTTTAGTCAGTTATATTTCTCTATTCATTATTTTTTTGCCAATATTTTGTTTTCTGTCCCAACTAGATCCTCTTCTAAGACTGTTGACAATTTAACACGCACATTTGTTTAGTATGGTGGATGTAATTTTCAGCAAACAGAGTCATGCTTATGGCGGGGAACTAACTGCGCTCCCCTTTTCGTAGACTTGTTTCATTATTCGTAAAAGAAAGATACTATAATTAGTGGCAAGGTTCCTGTGCAAAAATATCATTTTTCATAATGGTGTGCTAGCAGTGTCATTATTTTGCTGCATAGTAACTTAGTTATTGCTACTCGATCACGACTTATTTGTTACTTATCACGAGAAATACAACAGAATTCATTAAAGTGGGAAAGAGACACGGAGGTTGTCACTATCTGCTTATTATTCCGAGCATTACTAATATTTTAGTTCATGCCCGATTTTTGTGGTATTCGTATTTCTTAAACTTAACTGTTTTCTGTGTAATGTTTTTTTGGCCAATGGATGGTCAAACAGAAAACACGAGAAGATAAACAAATTAAAGACTTAGTCTATAAAACAATGTAGAACAGTGGCTAACCTCTGAGGCTCCAGTAGTGTATACCCACTTTCTAATTTGGGTCAAAGGGTCAAGTTTTAAAAATTGTCTTAGGTCATAATGTCACTTTTAAAAAAATTTACAGTTCGCAACTGATTGAATTCTGTTTTTGAAAATTTTCAAAGACCACAGGTCCTTTTAGATCAGACGTCATGCAGGTCGCAAGGTCGCCCGCCAAACTATAAAGGTCGCAATTTGGGTTTGACCATGTTCGAGCCACCTCTTAACACAGAATCAAAATTAAGTACAATGTATACTGAATTCAAATTTTTAATCAAATTTAGTTTGCATATAAATGTCAGTTTTGATTGTTTTAATACATGTGAACTGTGTTTTTATGAAGTCGGACACTAAACTATCTATCCGGCTGAAATACTAAGAGTACCGTACTTCTATAGAACACGGATAACACATTCAATATATGCCATAGGGATGAAAATAGTTGACGGTGCAATAGTATAAAGGAAAACATCCTGAGCTTTATTTAGAGAAGATCAGATAATACTTGACCAAAATGTAGCGTATGCAAGGCATCCTCATTGTTTAATGAGCTTCTGTATGATGGTTCTTCATTTCTGTATTCTTTATGTTTTTTTGGCGACTTCCCCTATTCTTTATACTTTTTGCCCATTATTCTCCATTCTTTATATTTTTTTGCCCATTATTCTCCATTCTTTATATTTTTTGCCCTTTATTCTCCATTCTTTATATTTTTTGCCCATTATTCTCCATTCTTTATACTTTTTGCCCATTATTCTCCATTCTTTATATTTTTTGCCCATTATTCTCCATTCTTTATATTTTTTGCCCATTATTCTCCATTCTTTATACTTTTTGCCCATTATTCTCCGTTCTTTAGACTTTTTGCCCATTATTATCCGTTATTTATATTTTAGTACCTCATTATTCTCTATTCTTTATTTTTTTTGTCCATTATTTTCTATTCTTTTTATTTTTTGCCCAATATTCTCTATTCTTTATATTTCAGCACTTCATGATTCTCTTTTCTTAAATTTTGGTCCATTTTTCTCTATTTAAAAAAAAAATTGCCCTTTATTCTCTATTCTGTAAACCCCAAATCCTTACCCTCTGTTAAGCATTACGCAAATACAAAATTATCCTTTTCAAAAGTTGACATTAGAAGGATTTGACTACTATTGTGTATGTAACTTTGAACCTGTTTCGGTTTTATACATGTACACACCCTTGGCTTTCCAATTTTCGGTTTTGAGAGTTCCTGATGAATTAAGGCAAACCAAGACGCCTCGGATGCATAAAATTAATAAAGTGTTATTTTCATTTTTTTAATCTTAGAATCTTTTCGATTGATTACATAAATTATAAAGTTTTCAACTTTATTTTTGAATAAATTTGGTTAAAAAATTAGTAATCAAGATAAGTATATATAATGATTTCAAAAGATTTTTTTTAAATTCAGTGAAATGGTTAAAAGAACAACAATTACGACAGCCATATAATATTTTTTTCTTTCAAACATTGACATACTTTTGCAAATATATAATATACAAAGTAATTGCTACCCATGACAAAGGTAAGGGTGTTTCAAGTTTTTTTTTTTATTACTATTAAAGTTTATTATCATTATTAATATTATCAATATTTTTTTAAGTTTTTTATTGCTATATTTTTTTATCATGATTATTATTGAAACCACGTTAAGAAGAATCTTTCTGTATTATCATGCTAATTTTTATATCAGAATGCTAAAAAAAGCAGTCAGTTTTTCGATAAATTATGGCATGATTAAAATCAAATTATTTGCCTTTAAACTTGTAGTTCATGAATTTATAACTGTGATAGCAGTATGGTTACTTCGTAATGTAAAATAGATGCTTAAACCACATAGGTTTATGGGGACGGGATAATTTTTATTCCTCCTTTCCAAAATCCTTTATTTATTTTGTTTTCCATTCATTTCAATTATTTTTGCATTTTTCTGTATTATAGGCACACAAATATACTAGAAATATCTTGTGTTTGCTATTTACTATCAATTCCAAGTTTACTATCCACAGCAGTCGCTGATATATTTGCCGCTGCATGCGTTGCTAAATCAGCGCATACCTTGACCGCTGTAGATAGTTAACTTGGAATTGATAGTAAATAGCAAATGCAAGTTATTTCTGGTATATTTGTGTTCATATAATACACAAAAAACACGCGATAATAATTGAAATTAATGGAAAACAAAATATAACGGATTTTGAAAAAAAAGGGGGGGGGCTAAAAACAATTGTCCTGTCCTCCAGTACTTATGTCTGAAAAGGTTTTGACTTAAATCTACTTAAAATGGCCTTTTTGTTTCAAAGCTAATCATTATTATCATGAACATTATTTTTTGTTCCGTACACTGAATGTTCACCATTTGATTTTTTTTCACATATGTAGGTCATGAAGCCAGAAGATGTCAATTGTTCGCTGTGCGAAACTCGCCACACAATCAAAATAGCAGAAGCATGGTGCTCCATGTGCCAAAAGGGTTTCTGTAACAAATGTCGTTATAATCATTTATCGAATCGTAAAAATAGGGGCCATAAATTCATAACAGTCGAAAAATACCAAAAGCAAACCGCACCCGAAAGTGCAATATGCAAAACCCACGAGAACAAATCTCACTATTATTGTAAATCACACGATGAAGTTGTTTGCGTCGTGTGTTCACCGGAAGCTCACAAAGCATGCGCCGCTGTTTTGACACTGCATGCAGCGGCAAAGGAGTTAAAATTGTCAACTGTTACCATGGAGTTCGATAAAACTATAAAAGCAATGGCAGGCAACATACAGAAGGTTATCGTAAATAGAACCAAGAATTTGACATCTATGAAAGACCGGAAAATGAAAATTGAGGACGAAATTACATCTATAAGAAATAATATTAACGACAAATTAAATAAAGTTCAGGATGAACTTCTACAAGATTTACAGAAGACTTATCAAAAACAGAAGCACGAAATAGAAGAGTGCTTAAACACATTGGACAAGAGCAAAAAAGAAATGCAAAATCTGAAAGAACAGTCTGGAATGTTAAGCCAATCGCCATCTACCAGTATCCATAACTTCCTGAGAACACTACAGATGAGGACAAAATTTAAGGAAGAGGAAACAGCAGTTACAGACGCCATTAAAAATACTAAACCAACAACTTTAGTCCTCAAACATGCTCCCGGTTTGCAGGCCTTTTATGATGAAGTAGTAACTTTTGGAAATATAGAGGTACAAAAAGGTAGTCCAAATAAAAAGACACCAGAGCAACAGACAAAAACTAAAAACGGACCAAAATCGAATACCAAGTCTTTAGTAAAGTTGAAGGTCGAACTAAGAGAAAGCATAAAGAAACCATCTGGAAATCAAGCGTTTATCAAAAATTGCGTGTTTAAATCAGACGGACAAATGGTTTTTACTGAACCTGAGAACAAAATGCTTGTAATTTATGATAAGAAAGGTTCATTCGTTTCAAGCATTACTGTACCGGGCCATCCATTCGACATTGCTGCCATAAACTATTGCACAGTCGCAATTACATTTGAAAAGCAAAATTCCATTCAGATTATTGATACAACGTACCACAAAGTATCGAAAACGATTCATGCAAAAAACATGTGCAGAGGCATATCGTACATGAACGGTCAGCTGTTTGTCGTGGTCAAAGATGAGGGAATAATGATTCTGGACACGTTGGGTCAGATAAAAAAAATACTTCAAATAAATGTAGCCGAGGTTCGTTTCCTGTCTGCTTCTAAT